GGCGAGCTTCCTGCAGCGCCAGTTCGGCGCGCTCCTGCAGCCCGGAGTCAACAAGTTCTCGCTGCGGATGTTCGGCAGCCAGAAGGCCGTGGAACGCGAGCAGGAGCGCGTCAAGTCGGCGGGGGCCTGGATCATCCACCCGTACAGCGACTTCAGGTAGCGCCGCGCGGGGCCGTCCTTGGCGCAGGAGGGCGGGGTGGCGCACCCCGCTGGCGACCTGGGGCCCCTGAGTGACCTCCGCGCGCGAGTGACCTGAGTGCGCGGGGCTCCGCCCTGGAGGGGGCCTGGCGGTGACCTCGGCGCGCCCCTGTCCACGCACCCTGACCTCCCTCCTGCAGCGCGGCAGGCAGGGTGGGCGCGCGTCGCGGGCTGCAGGGGTCTGAGCTCGAGGGCCAGGGAGGACGAATAGAGGGGAATGTGGGCGCGGGGAGGCGGCGGAGCGGAAGGACGGACGGAGGAAGGAAGGGCGCCCGGGAAGGACGCGCCAGGGAGAGGCCGGCGGCGATGGGGTTAAGCGGCCCGGCGCGCTCCCACCGCCTCCACCTGCGGCCCCGCGCTGTGAGGAGGCCGGTCCTGCCCTGACGGAGCGGCGCTCGAGGAGGGGCGCTGCACGGGAGGGACCCCAGCCGTGTGTTTATGTCTTGAGGCGGCGTCCACCGAGGCGCCAAGGCGATGGGCCAGCCTGGATGCAGTGGGTGTGAAGTGACCGCGTGGAGTGAGCCCGGCTAGCGCGAAGCCGCCATCTGGGAGGGTCTCTGCCGAGGGCGTTTACCCGTATAGTTCCCAGAAGGGTGTTGTGAGGCCAGCGGGAATGCACTAAGTGTGTCGCTGCAGGTCGCACCTGTGTGTGTACAGGGTGGGCGAAGCGGGGTGGACTCGGTGGGCCAGCGGCGAGTACTGGTGTGCGCACGTGTTGGGAAGGGCCGTGTGTAGCCGCTTGTTACTGGGGTGGGTGTGTGCGGGAAGGATCAGCGTATGCGTGTGCAGGTACCACATGTGTGGCTGTGCAGGTGTGAGTGCCAGGCGCTCAGCGTGTGGAGCGGAGCACCTTCTGTGTCTGGGTGTAGGTGGGAGGTCAGGTTGGAAGTTCAGCACCAGGGACAGCGCACAGAACAGGCGCGCCCTTGCTCCTGGATCCCCAGAGCTGTGTGGCAGCAGCTGAGGACCTCTCTTGGCCCTGGTGCCTGTTGTATCCTTTAGCTTGGTGACTTGGAAAACTGAGTCCTGGGTCACAGTGACAGGGAGAGGCCCTGGAAACTATGGAAGTCGGAATCTCAGGCTAGGAGCTTCCTCACTAGGGTTGGGTTTCAAGAGGCACCAGGCCCAGGAAGATCCAGTGGGATGGGGTGCTTCTGGGAGGCTCTGTGGAGTTGTCAAGTGGGGGCCAAGAGAAGATAAGCTTGATTTCCAGGGCCCAGAGCCTCCTGGATTTCTCTGAATGATTGGAGAGCGATGGAGAGGGTGCAGACACACCCTGGAAGTTCTGTGGCAGCGGCCAACGAGGCTGGCATGTTCTTGCAGGCAAGACCTGGAGGCAGGCATCTCCTCCCCAGAGGAGTGCCTTTGGTTCTTCACTGGGAAGGGGCAGTGTATCGCTGGGACAGAGACAAAGCCTGGAATGCCACTATGCACCCTGAAATCCAAAAGACCTGCCAGGCTACTCTGGGAGTGACCACTGTGCCAGGCCAGCTGAGGCTGAGTAGCAGGCATTGGTCAGGGCTGAGAGGACAGTGCCGGGGCAGCAGTTGGGGCTTTTTCACCTTCTAGAGGAGCTACACCCCTTCCAACTGGCAAGACTCCCAGAAGCCTCTGGGCCAGGGATATCCTGAGCCCCGACCAAACCCCTTCTGACCCCACAGCAACCCAGGGCAAGTGATGCTGTCCCCACAGTCCACCCTGGGAAACTGAGATGCAAAGTGAGGACACTCACTCAGAGCCAGCCAGCTTTTGGCCAGGTGGCCCAAGAGCTAACCTTTTTCTGGCCTCTCATCAGCCTCTGCTGGCTTCACAGGCAGGACCTCAGCAGTGGGGTGTGAGGCATCATGAGGGCCGTGGAGGTATGGCCGGGGCAGATGATGCCTCTGTGACAGGATACAGAGCATGACAGGATGTTTCGGCCATGCTTAGACGCACAAGTGTCGAGGACATGCACCTTGTTGCGCAAACTCCAGCATGTGTCCTTTTTACTCAAGAAGTCTCCTCCCCTCCTGTCCCATCCCTGATGACTGCTGTCTCTGAGCATCTGTGTCCCATGGACGTTTCACATGAGCGGTGCTGTATGGGATTTGTCCGTTTCCACCTCTGAGTGTCGTGTTTTCAGAGTTCATCCATGTTGTATGAGGACTGAATAATATTCCATTGTGTGAACGGACCACACTTGTCCATTCATCTGTTGCTGGCCACGTGGACGGTCTCCACTCTGGGGCCAGCGTGAATGGAGCCTCTGTGGACTCATGTACATGCTCTGATTCAGGTTCTGCCTCCAATCATGTGTGTATAAGCCCAGGAGCATAATCTCTGTGTGCATGTGTCATGCACATTACAGGTGTGTATACATACAACACTCACATGGAGCATGTATATAACCTGTGTACACACATGCAACATGCATGCATATGGGGAACATACAAGCAGGTATATACATGTATATATGTGACACATGTGTCTATACATGTGGATACATATACGTACACATACATATGTGCATATATGCATATATAGGTGCCATTTAAGTGTGTGTATGCAACATATAGCTCTGTGTTGTGTATGTTCACAACACAAATATCTATATGTCATGCACACAAACATGCACATATATGTGACATGCGTACAATGTACATGGCTGAGTGTATACGTATATCTATGGCTGACATATATACAGATGTCTGTACATAGACTTACAGAACACAGGCACCTGTGGGTCTATGCATAATACATGTGGATGAATGGAATGAATTCATGATGTTGCACCTGTATAACACGCATGTGTACACTGAGTATATATACACACAGCACACATACAGGGAATGTGCAAACATGTGACACGTGCATGCGTGCGGGCCATGCAGACCACATATACATGTTTGTACATGCGTTCCTCTATGGACCACATGTGTGCATACTTGTATGTGAGTATACAGAAAATGCGTGAACATTGTGCACCGTGCACACTCAGGTGTGAGCCAAACACGTTGCAGTAGGCACACACATACGGCACAGACATGTAGGTCTCATGTGTGGATACAGTGTCTGCAGAATGCATGTGCTAATCTCTGTGTATGTGGAGTCTCCCCCGCACATGGCAGCCTCGGGTTCAGAGCGGCTATGTTCCCTGATGTCGCAGAGGCTGGTTTTCAGCAGAATGTCACAGGCTATGGGGCTTTTCTAGACGGTACATCTGGGTGGGTTCAAACCAGCCACTTTCAGGTTAGTGGCAGAGCACTGAACTTTCTGAGGCACCAGGGACTGTGCGCGTGCATGTTGGTGTATCTAAGTGTGTTGGAGTGTGTCTTAGTGTGTATGTAAATGTGTGCCTCTGTGTGTTTGAACGTGGATGTCTACATGTACGCATCAGTCTGTGCATCTGAGTATATGTATCGCTGTGTGTCTGTTTCTGTTGGTGTGTATCTGAGCGTGTCTGTCTGCATCTGCATATATGTCTATCTATGCACATCTGAGTGTGTGTTGCTGTGTGTTTCTGTTGGTGTGTATCTGAGCGAGTGTCTGCATCTGAGTGTGTCTGTGTATCTGAGTGTGCATCGCTGTGTGTCTGTTTTTGTTGGTGTGTATCTGAGTGTGTGTCGCTATGTGTTTCTGTTGGTGTGTATCTGAGCGAGTGTCTGCATCTGAGTATGTCTGTCTGTGTATCTGAGTGTGCATCGCTGTGTGTCTGTTTCTGTTGGTGTCTATCTGAGCGTGTGTCTGTGTATCTGAGTGTGTGTCACTGTGTGTTTCTGTTGGTGTGTATCTGAGCATGTGTTGCTGGGTGTCTGTTGACATGCATCTAAGCATGAACATCTCTGGGCTCACTCCGTGCACGGTGGGAAGAAAGCCTCCAGGGAAGGGGTGTTTGCCTACTCAGGGACTGACGGTGTCAGAAGACTGAAAAGGAGGCCTGGGGGCCAGTGGAATGGACCCATGTGGCACCTGGACAGATGGTCAACCTTTAGTGACCTGAAGTCACCCAGTGTGCCATGCAAGCTGTGGGGACGCAGGTGGAGATGGGGAGAAGGGACAACTACCTGGATCACCTTGTGCTGGTACAGATGGACTGGGGGGCATGTGGAGTGAGGTAGGGAGAAGGTGTTGGGTCCGGGAGACCCAGAGCTTCTGTGCTGACTCTGTGCCCTGGCAGCAGGGGATGGTCGTCCAGCATCACAGCTCACTCCCAGCTCCCATGCCCCTCTGTGCAGGTGGGCTGCCCACTGGCTTTCACCCGAGGGGCAGGAGTGCCTCGACTTTCATGCCACACTGCCCTCACCTCATCTCCTGAGCAGCTTGGACACTGGACTGGGTCTTCTGTCCCTCTGGGTGTGCGGAAACACAGGGACCCCTGTAGGTGGAACTCAGGGAGGCAGGGGACCCTGGGCTTTATCATCCTGGACAAGCCTAGGTTTTGTCCTCATGTGGGCACTCTGGCTGCAGGGAGTGGAAGTGCAAGCTGTTGGCCTAGAAGTGGAAGACTGAGCCTTAGGTGCTGAGACAAGGCCTGGCCGTCTCCGACAAGCCTGCGTCCAGGCTGATGCCCAGGGGGCGCTGGGCGGAGCCGCCGCTGCAGCTCTATCCTCATTGATGAGCTGGGAGCTGGGGCCATAGTCACCGGGGCTCACCTGCAGAAGCTGGGCTGTCCCAGAGTTTCCACGGGCACAGTGGGGGAGGGTCCCCGCCCACTGCCCGTGTATGTGTGAGTTCTCACTCTTCTTTACACACCAAGGTCAGTGTCAGGAACCCAAAGGGGGCAGGGAGTCTCTGGCCACAGTCCCACCAAAGCCTCAGACCTCCTAGGGTCTATGAGGGCTTCTGCTCCCACAAAAGGCCCGTAAAACCAATTCCCACACACTTCCTGATTCTGACCATGGACAGGAGCAGCCTCACTGTCTGGAGAGTGTGAAGGCGGCAGTCCCCAAGGATAGTGCTGACCTGGAAGGGGTCCCCAAGGGCGCCTTGAATCAGGATGGAGTTAGTGCTTGGACCCAGTCATCAATCTGGGCTGATTTGGCATTACCTCCTCAAATGATTACAATTTGGGAGACAGGCATGGGGCACCTGGCTGCATCAGGGCTGTGTTCCTGGAGCTCTGGCCTGGGCAGGGGAGCAAGGAGCTCTGGTCTGTGGTTGTCCCCCAGGCCTGGCTTCAGCCCCTCCCGCTGCAGCCATCTCCAAGCCCATGTTCCTGGATCCCAGAACCCCAGTGGGGCCACGGCTAAGCAGTCCACTGCTGACAGAAAAGATGACTGACTGATGCACCCAGAAATGCCAAGAAAGCCTGGGAATGTCCTGCCATCTGGACAACACACAAGAGAACCGTGCACCATCATCGTTCCAGAATCCTGTTGTCACCGTCAAATGATGGCACCCAGCAGCAGTCCCTTAGCTGTCCTGATGGCCACGTCTGTATTGACAAGAGGAACTAACCAGTCTCTTCCCTAATCCTCAGAGCACCCATGGTGATGGTGGTGATGTGCTTGTGGGTGTGGGTGAGGGTGTGGGTGAAGGTGCGGGTGTGGGCACGCATGAGCACGGATGGCCCCGGTGGGATTGAGTCCTGATGTGGGTGTGGCTGGTGATGTGAGCTCAGGAGTGGACCCAGATGCTGATAAGGGTGTGGAGGAAGATGTGGACGGTGGTGCTGTGTGGGGACAGGTGTGGATGGATGTGAGGGTGCTGCTGCCGACGTGGTGGCTGTGGAGGAAGCAGGCCGCTGCACCAGATGGGTGGCGGATCAGCAGGAACTCACTGTGGGCCGCTCTGTAAATCCTGCCGGTGAGCCCTGCATCAGGCATGGGAACGAGCTGCCTTATCCGAAGCGGGCAGGAGGTGAGGGCTTCCCAGCGTCCAGCCAGGCACCAAGGGCGGCCATCACCTCAGATCCCTTTCTGAGGGCCCTCAGCAGGGAGGTTCCTGGTCACCATGAAGGGGCAGGGTGGTCAAGATCCCCTCCACATCCTAGGGGCTGCCTGCCTTGAGTATCTGATGAAAAATTCCCTGCTTTAATCACTCAGGTCCCCGGGCCCACTGCCCCAGCATCAGATGCACAGCCAGGCAGGGGTCTGGGGTGGGGACACTTAAGAGGCCCTGCTCAGGATACCCCACCTCCTATCAGCAAACACCTTAACTTGGTCTGGGACCTTGCCCCCATCCACTGCTCATCCTGGCCACCTGCTAAGAGCCCCCCGCTGCCTAGGTCCAACCCCTCTGAGCCCTGTCCCATGTCCCTGGCTCTCAGGCCCCCACCCCAGCTCTGCTGTGACATCAGCATTGGAACCTTTGTGTTAGGACCTGCAGCTCCTCTGTCCCCAGGTCCTGGCCCAAACACAAGACCGCACTGGAAGCCCTCCCAGCCCACCCTGGGTCACATGCCCAAAGCCTCCCATGATGTGTTTGTGAGATGGCTCAAGGCGCCACTGGGCTGGAGCCCGTGGGGCGGGGGGCAGAGCCGTGGGGTTAGTGCGTGTTTCTTGGGCTCCTGGGAATGCGGCTCTGTCTCAGGATCGCTTTCCTAATCCCCAGTCTCCCTCCGCAGGCTCAGCTCCTAATCCTGAGTGTAATCACCCACCCAGCTCCTAATCCCTCCCAGCTTTGCCTGTCTGTAATCCTGGCCTGATATCTCAGCTGAGCTCCACAGCTCCGCTTCTGGGCAGTCTCATGGGCTGTCACACGCGGGTTGAGTGTCCCATAAAGGCTTGGTGCCACACACAGGCTGTCACACGCAGGCTGGGTGTCACACACAGGCTGTCATATGTGGGCTGGGTGTCACACGTGAGCTGAGTGTCCCCTAAAGGCTTAGTGCCACACACAGGCTGTCACACACAAGCTGAGAGTCACACACAGGCTGAATGTCACACACAAGCTGTCACACGTGGGCTGGGTGTCACACACAGACTGGGTGTCTCACACAGGCTGTCACATGTGGGCTGAATGTCACACACAGGCTGAATGTCACACACAGGCTGTCACACGTGGGCTTAGTGCCACACACAGGCTTTCACACACAGGCTGTGTCACACACAGGCTGTCACATGTGTGCTGAGTGTCACACACAGACTATCACACGCAGGCTGAGTGTCACTCACAGGCTGTCACATGTGGCCTGGGTGTCACACACAGGCTGTCACACACGGGCTGAGTGTCACACATGGGCTGAATGTCACACGCGGGCTGAGTGTCCCATAAAGGCTTACTGATACACACAGGCAGCCACATGTGGGCTGAGTGTCACATGGAACTGTCACATGTGGGCTGGCTGACACGTGAACTGGCTATCATGGGCTGGGTGTCACACAAGCTGTCACACACGGGCTGCCTGTCCTGTGGACTGGGTGTCACCCGCAGGCTGGCGGTTGGACTGGGTGTTACACACAGCTATGTGTCTAAATAGGACAGGGAACTGACAGCCCCAGTCCCGCCCTGCTGTATCACCCCAGCTCCGAGGCCTCAGTTTCCCCAAGATTGGCATTGCTTTGGTTATGGGTACTTCCTGCTTCCTGGGGGCCAGTAGTCTGAGGACAGGATCTGGGGCCTTGACTTTCTGGGTTCTGTCCCCTGCCCTAGGGGACAGCCCTCAGCTAGCATGCTGCCCCTCCCCAGCTGAAGGGCTTAAAAGGGACAGTGTGTAGTGGGATTTGACGACACCAAATCCTGACCCACCCTGGGCCCAGACACCTCTCTACCTCAGTCTCCCCACATGCAGTGACCCTGGGGAGACAGCACTCGTCTTAATGTCGCTGATGGGGGTAGGGCACCTGGCTAGGGGGAGCAGGGGCCTTGGAGTCCCAGTGACAGGTGGATAGAGGAGACTCCCCCACTGCGAACCTTGTCGTCAGCACCCCTGCTGGCTTTGTGGGCAACTGCCCAGTCCCCCCTGTCTCAGCTGGGTCCCCATTTAGGGAAGGTTTTGTAGCACTTGGATGTGACAACCTTCAAGGAGACGATTCCTCACAGCTGAGCCCTCCTTGACCACTCCTCGCTGGCCGACAGACAAGGTGGTGGATCGAGAGGCTGGAGGGGCTTGTGCAAGGTCATGCCCGTCAGTGGGCAGAGTGGGCATCACCACCAGCCTGCGGATGCCACCGTGATGTCAGAGACTGGCTCTTTCCAGACTCTGCCTCCACAGGGCCCCGCTTCTGTGAGCATCTTGGTACAAATAGCCTTTAATGTTTTTCTCTCTTTTGGACGGTTTCCTTGGGCGCCATTCGCTGGCGTAGAATGCTGGGTCACCCGGTAGACACTGGTGTTAATAGCTCCTTCTTGGAGGTGCTGTCTAGGGACTTGCCAGGCCTTGGCAATGCCAGGGCTTCCAGTCTGTCTGTGCCAGCCTCTTGGAAGCTCCGCCTTTTCTACCGTCGGCTGAGGATGCACCAGGAAGCCACATGTGTGTGACAGGATCTCACTAAGAGGTTTGGGGAGCCCAGCCATGCTGAGGTGGAGGCTGGGGTGATGAACAGCTTCCATAGCCCACCAAGGGGGACGTTGAGCACTGGGAAGGGCCAGCCTGGTCCAGGGCAGGGGGCACGTTTCCTCCAACCATCAATCAAATGACTTGGTTGATGTTTCAAGACCCAATTTGGAGCCTGCCTACCTCAAGCACCCAGGACCCTGTGGTGGGTCTCCTGGCTCCAGTACAGCCTCACCTGTGGGACCTCAGAACTAGAGTTCAGAGCATGACGGGCCCCCTGCGATGGCTTGCTCCCAGGCGGGAGGTCAGAGCTGGCCTGGGGGATGGGTCCCCCAGACAGAACTGGCTGTGGCAGTGGCCTGTCATCACTTTTTCACACACATTTCCTTACTCGATGTCCGAGCGGCTGCCAAGTACTCTCCACCATGCCTGTTCTGGCCCCTCGGCCCTGGCCACAGGCTCCAGCTTGGCCTCTGTCCTCCTGGGCCCGCGCCCAGTACCTCGTTGGGCCTGGCCCCCAAAAGTGCTTCCAGAAATGGAAGTGCACTGAGTGCTTCATTGGGCTGGCAGTGGGGGTGCACTTCTGTGCCCATCCCAGTGGGGATTCTACAGTCCCATTGCAGAGTCCTAGCCCCACCGCCGTGGGGGCCGGTGCCTGTGGTGTCCCGCTCACCTCCCAGCATTCTTTGAAGGCCAGCTGGTGCAGGCACGCTGTCCAGTTCTGGGCTTTTTTTGTCAAGCAGAAGCATTTCATCTATTTTGAGTGAACTCTGGACTGTGGGGTGCCTTGATTCTTGAAGGAGAGGGTCGGGGCTGGCTGGGGAGGACCCGAGCAGGGTGGCCAGCGTTGATGGCCAGGCTCACATCTTCAGTCTGGGCCTTCAGGGCCGCAGGGGCAGGAGAAGCGGTGGCCTGGCTGACTGGGGCCCCTTGTCCCCAGGTTCTACTGGGACTTCACGATGCTGCTGTTCATGGTGGGGAACTTGATCATCATCCCAGTGGGCATCACCTTCTTCAAGGACGAGACCACAGCCCCCTGGATCGTGTTCAACGTGGTGTCAGACACCTTCTTCCTCATGGACCTGGTGCTCAACTTCCGCACGGGCATCGTCATCGAGGACAACACGGAGATCATCCTGGACCCCGAGAAAATCAAGAAGAAGTACCTACGTACGTGGTTCGTGGTGGACTTCGTGTCCTCCATCCCGGTGGACTACATCTTCCTCATTGTCGAGAAGGGCATCGACTCGGAGGTCTACAAGACGGCGCGCGCGCTGCGCATAGTGCGCTTCACCAAGATCCTCAGTCTTCTGCGGCTGCTGCGCCTCTCGCGGCTGATCCGCTACATCCACCAATGGGAGGAGGTGAGGGGCCGCGGGGGGCGGGACTACACCTGCCAGTGGGCAGGACCTACCTACCAGGGGGCGGAGGTGGCTGGAGGGCAGGAGTCCACATCCACCAATAGGAGGGAGTGGGGCGGGACACTTCACCCGTCAGTGAGAGGTGAGGGCATGGTAGGTTGGGGCACAGGATCACTACTAGTGGGGTGGCCTTGGGCGGGATCTCAGCTGCAAAGGTGCCTCAGAGGAGCATCAGGTGGTGAGGTGAGTGTGGGGGGGGCAAGGTGGGGCTGTGGGCGTGGCTTTGAGGGCACCTGGGGATGGGGCTTGCTCTTCGGGGCAGGGAGTGTCTCTGTTGGTGCAGACCCCAAGCCTAGTCTGATGAGTCTGACCTCATTCCAGTGTCCTAGCCACGGTCGAGAGGGCACTGGGGACATTGTCCCTGTTTCCAGTGGCCACCAGCCTTCCGGTGGAGCTGAGCCAGAGCAGGCCTGGGAAGGGTGGGCACCAGCCCTGTCCTGGGTTGGGGTGCAGCGTGGCTGCGTTGCCAATGCCATGTCCTGGCCTGGCCCCATCCTCCTGCCCTCGCAGATCTTCCACATGACCTATGACCTGGCCAGTGCCGTCATGCGTATCTGCAACCTCATCAGCATGATGTTGCTGCTCTGCCATTGGGACGGCTGCCTGCAGTTCCTGGTGCCTATGCTGCAGGACTTCCCTCGTGACTGCTGGGTCTCCATCAACAACATGGTGGTGAGTGCCTGTCCGAGGTCCGGCGCCCCAGGCCCCGATCGGGTGGGCCCCGTCGGAGCCTGAGGGCAAGATGTTCCATCAGTGTCCTGGGGGGGTCCCCGTGCCTGGGGTTCCCCATCAGTGCCCAGAGATGTTCCATGCCTGGGGTGTCCCATGCTGGAGGACCCCCACCAGTGCTTGAGGGTGCCCCATGCTGGAAGTCCTCCACCAGTGCTCAGGGGTGTCCCGTGCCAGGGACACGGCACTGAGTCTTTCTGACCGGGATCTCCTGACTCACCAGGTGTCCCCTCAGGAGTCTGAGATTTGATCACTTCTGTCAAAAAATAGAATCTACTCACTGCCTTTCTCTAAGTAACTCTATTTATGTAAATCTATTTAAAAGAACCATTTATAATGCGCGACCCTCAGTAGGCAAGTGGCATTTAGAGTCGTAAGAAGCACACACTCACAGAGACAGAGAGGCCTGGGGAGGGTCAGTGGTCAGCACTGTAGTGAACTGCCAGCTCCCAGCATGTGTGGGGCTGAAGGGGTTCTTGGGCACAGAACAGGCGGGCACCCACGGGGTAGAGCTGCAGAGGGAACACCGAGGGCGCCTGGCACAGCTGCCCGCCTGACACGGCCCATTGTCTTGCAACACTTGCCCACGTGGCCCCACTTCCTGCTGGGCTCCAGCCCCTCCCCCAGCGGGGTCAGGCGAGGACTCGAGGTCAGCCATCCTTACTGGCCTGATCCCTGATCTGATCCTGTGTCCCTCATGGGCCTGTCTCAGGGCTCCAGGAACCTCTGCTTCCTCCGACCCACAAACTCTCTGGACAGAGGCCACAAATGCACGACGGGCTGCCGCTGGGGGATTCAGGGTCCCAGCCTGCCAGCAACTCACTTATCACTCCTGGGATTACAGTGGCAAGCAAAGTCTGTTCCCTCAGTCCAGAAGGCTGGGTCCAGGGCACCAGCTCCAGGAAGGCCCTTGACTCAGTCAGCACCTACAGGCCAGTGTTCTGGGAGACCTCCTTGTGCCCTTGGCCTTCCTCGGGTCAGGGAGCTTCCAGTGCAGGGATCTAATTCCCAAAGGACCCCTCTACTCCTATAGGACTGACCTGGAGGCCCTGAGATGCCCTCAACTCCTCCCCTAGGGACAGTCCCCTAACAGGTCAGACCTATGAGGGGTTAAGGGAGGCCACATTCTGTTCTTAACCTGTTCACAGCTATTTGGATGAGGAGACCTTTACACACAGAGAAATCTTCCACATTCATGTTACTCCATACATGCCCCTTGTGGGGCACAGTCCAACCCACCACCATCTCCCTGAGCCTCAGTTTCCCTATCAGTAAAATGGTCCCAGCTGCAGCTGCCCCTGTGGCTGGCCCCTGGGTTCCCCCTGGGCACCTGTGGGCAGACAGCAGGTCAGGCTGAGCACCCACCACCCTCCCCCCACCCGCTTGCAGAACCACTCGTGGAGCGAGCTCTACTCCTTCGCGCTGTTCAAGGCCATGAGTCACATGCTATGTATCGGCTACGGCCGACAGGCGCCTGAGAGCATGACCGACATCTGGTTGACCATGCTGAGTATGATCGTGGGTGCCACGTGCTACGCCATGTTCATCGGGCATGCCACTGCTCTCATCCAATCACTGGACTCCTCACGGCGCCAGTACCAAGAGAAGGTCAGTGAGCAAAGACCCCTCAGCTGGGTTCTGAGGGGGGACGCACAGACTTGAGCGCAATCTGAGAGATGGTTGGATGCTAACCAGGAATTCTGAGGGGGGAGGCACGGCCCGGATCTGAGGGTCTGAGGGGGGAGACAAGGCTCAGATCTGAGGGGGGAGACAGGGCCCAGATCTGAGGGTCTGAGGGGGGAGGCACGGCCCAGATCTGAGGGTCTGAGGGGGGAGACAGGGCCCGGATCTGAGGGTCTGAGGGGGGAGACAGGGCCCAGATCTGAGGGTCTGAGGGGGGAGACAAGGCTCAGATCTGAGGGTCTGA